TACATTCCCCCCTCTAATAGCGTAGTGCCTAAGGCACTTGACTGCTAACCAGAAGGCTGGCAGTTCAAACCCACCAGCCACTCCTTGGAAGGAAGATGAGGCAATCTATTTCCATAGTGATACTGCCTCAGAAACCCAAGGAGGGGTTGCTATGAGTCGGGTCCAACTTGACGACACATAACAACAACACTCCCCCCTGTGTAGACATATGTAATAGTTCAGCCTGTCCACCAGTCTTTCCATCCATATAGCCATATAATTAATTAATTTTTTTTGTTTTAATTGTGATTTGGGTGAAAGTTTACAGAGCAAATTCACTTTCCATACAGCAGTTCACTTCCTCTTCCTCAATGCCACCATGTTGATCACTCACATTTGGTACATTACCCTTCCCTTCACCCAAATCAATACTTGTTTCTACCTATCTAATAGTGCCACCATGTTGATCACTCACATTTGGCACATTACCCTTCCCTTCACCCAAATGAATACTTGTTTCTACCTATCTAATAGTGTTCCTTCCCCTCCCCTCCCACCTCGGTAACCAAAAAGGAAAGTTTCCTTCCATTTATAAACCTTTCCTTGACTTTTTTACAATAATGGACTAATGCAATATTTATCCTTCTGTGATTAACTTATTTCAACCAGCATAATGCCCTCCAAGTTAATGCATGTTATATAGTGTTTTGTAGATTCTGTGTTACTCTTTAGGGTTGCAAAGTATTCTGTTGTGTGTATGTACCATAGTTTGGTTATCCATTCTTCTGTTGATGGACACCTAGGTTGTTTCCATCTTTTTTACTATTGTAAATAGTGCTGCGATGAACAAGGGTGTGCATACATCTGTTCCTGTCCTAGCTGTCACCTCTCTAGGATATACACCTAATAATGGGATTGCTAGGTCAAATGGTATCTCCAATTCCAGCTTTCTAAGAAATCACCATACTGCTTTCCACAGTGGTTGTATCACTTCACAGTCCCACCAGCAGAGTATGAAAGACCCAATCTCTCCACATCCTCACCAGCATTTGTTATTTTCTGTCTCATTGAACCTTGCCATCAGTGCTGGGGTGAGATGGTATCTCATTGTTTTGATTTGCATCTCTCTGATGGCCAGTGATCGTGAGCATCTCTTCATGTAGTTGTTGGCCACCTGAATATCCTCCTTAGTGAAGTGTCTATTCATGTCTTCTGCCCATTTTTCAATTGGATTGTTAATTCCTTTGCTGTTGAGGTGTTGGACTTTTCTATAAATTTTGGAGATAAGTCCCTTGCCAGATAACGTTAATTATCAACAAGTATGAATTTGTTGCTGCCATTTTGTTATGTGCTTTTTTGTGGTGTTGATTTCTTTCTTCCGTATACTTTTCTGTGCTGAATTCATTTTCTTTATTTATCATGTTATTACTTCTTTCGTTGCTGTTATTTTAATAGTTGCTAAATATTTGTGCTTGTCCTCATTTTTATTTTGATGTGAAGGTTTATCATTTTTCTTTGAGGCTACCCTGTGATTTATAGTTTTCTTCTCAAGTTTAGGACAGTCTGTTCTATCTTGTAGTTGTTTTGACTTCCCTACCATCTAGAAGTTCTGTAATGACACAGTTTTTACCCTCTTTTTGGTTTGTAGTTGTCCTCATTTGTCAATTAATGTCTCTGGTTCCCTGTTTACAATCTTGTAGGCTTATTTATTTTGGATACTTGTGTAACTGGGTTGGTTTATGGGTTATGTCACTATGTGTGTTAATGGTCACTTGTTTGATGTTGTTGCTTCTTTATCCAGAGGGCTCCCTTTAGCATCTTTTGTAAGGTTTTAAGAAATTCCCTTAATTTCTGCTTACCTGGAAATGTCCTAATTTCAACATCATATTTGAGGGACAGTTTTACTGGGTATACTTCTTGGTTGGAATTTTGTTCCTTTGAGGGTTTTATATATACTATTCCATTTTCTTCTCACCTGCATATTTTCTGCTGAGAAATCCAAGTCTTAATTGGTTGCCCCTTGTAGGTAACTTTTTGTTTTTCCTGTGCTGCTTTCACGATTCTTTCTTTGTCTTTGGTTTTGGTGAGTTTAATGATGATATTTCTTGGTGATTGTCTTTTGGGGTCTATCCTGTTTGGGGTTCATTGAACTTCTGGATGGATATATTCTCATCTTTCATCATACCAGGAAAATTCTCTTCCAGCAAATCTTTGACAGTTTTTTCTGTGGTTTTGTCTTTTCCTGTTCTGGAATTCTGATTACATGAAGGTTATTCCTTTTGATGATATCTCACATGAACCTTAGGCTTTCTTCATTTTGTTTTCATCTTTTTTCTGATTGATCCCTTTCCAAAGAAGTATTGAGGTATTTGTCTTCAGTCTCACTAATTCTGTCTTCCATTGATTCAGTTCTACTCCTTTGCACGTTCAATGTCTTATCTATTTCTGAAAATACAGTTTTAGTCTTCTGGATTTCT